CACGGATCGTCTTGACACTGCAGTGCCGTCAAGTTCGGTCCACTCCCCGTTCCTTCGGGAACTGGGAACCCATTTATTATACCAATGTTAAATGAAAATATGTCTTCTTCGCCCCCATCTTAAGTGTTCTATTCATCTGTCATATTATTTTGGAAACGTTCCAAATTATTACATATTCGCTGGTTTTGTTGATTCGTCTTTAGTTTTTCTTTGTAATATGGATGGACAACATAGAAACAAAACATATGATTTTACTAATGATGGATTCAATCAAGGAAATCTAACACAAACTAATGTTTCTCATTGTCAGTAGCTTTTGATTAGACAGTAATCTTGAGCAGTCAAATGTAAGTAAGAGATGGCGATACTAGTCGATCGAAATTATTATGAAAGATAGTTGAAAAAGAAAGCAGTTCGATTATGTTTTGTGATTGGCTTTGAGAAACAATGTATAAGAGAAAATGTTTTCATATGAAAGTGGGGAGAGGGAGCTATACTCGCTGGGCTCGAAATACACAATCAAAAGTATAAAAAAAAACGATTGGATGCAGTGATTTTGTTGATAAGAGTGAAATATCTGAAACTATGTTAACTTGTAAATAATTCAAGACACATATTATGTTTAATCGAAGGATAATATGTGACATATTTTTCTTCGCTTTTTTTTGTGAAGTATATTTTAATTTTCATCTTTGCTTCATTTTGTCTTGACAACGATGTTTGATCTTTGTTTTTTAGTTATTTTTCGTTTGTACAAAATCATATGCTCATATTCAACCCGAACTATAATATGTTGGATGAAAATAAATACTCACAAAAGAATTACTTAGCATTCTTTCCAACAATGTTTAGTGTATATTCTAAAAAAATATCATTTTTGATTTTTTTTTGTCTTTATTAGTTCTATACCACACGACAGTTCAATTGATATCTTTATCGTTCATAGCTTCTCTGTGTATTGAATCTTAAGTTTCAAATCAATTAAAGGGATAAACAAAGTGCAGAGAAAATGTTCTTTAGAAATTTGGAGAGGATTCAAAGTCGACTATATTTTCGCATTTTTTTTTTTTGACATGGCGCAAAATCATCATAAATATCTTTATAGAATGACATTAGAATAATACACATAGAAAATATTGGAATCATATATATTTTTTTCAAATTCTGAAAATCAAAATCAACATCAAGTAGTATTAAAACAACTGTGAATGAATTTTATATGATTATTCACCGGCTTTTCTGAAAGTAGAGCTCAAAAGCACTGAATGATAATCATATTAGAATAACTCATTCTTTTTACAAATGAGTATTTTTTATTTGAAGATTGGTACATGTCATAACAGTAATTACCTGGATCTAAGCATATTTTTCGCATCTCTGTTTCAATCATGGAAAAAGTTTAGACATATTTTTCGAATTCCTAATACTTCAAAACTAATGTATGCCTTTTATGGCTTTATTAAATATTCTACAATAATATTTCTTCTATGATTTGGAGATCAATTGAATTATATTATCAGCGTTTTAAGACTTTTTCTCACGAAACAAAAAAATATACTTTTATTCGATAGAAAACCAATTTTCAGCAACCTTTTTGTTTCGAACATATGAAATTCTATTGATCTTCAAGATAGATTTACAATAATATTCATTCTCTTTCAATAATTTCTTGCAAAATCTTACATACTTGAAAACTAGACAAGAAATATCTTCATCAAACCACAACAACATCGACTAGTTTAATTCTTTTTTTTTTGTAGCTGAGTTTTATCTCAGGGTGAGTGTGGGTGTGGGTGTGGGGTGGGGGTGGATGTGGGTGTGGGATCGTGGTGTGGATCTAAGAAGACTAATTCCTACACCCGCAGCCACCACCCACACCCATACACACGCTCAGATCCACATCCTTTGTTGAAAATGAAAAATAAAAGACAATTTAATCCGTTATTATAAATTCAACTTCATAAGTAACATAACCACTGAGTAATGCTCATATATTATTGAAAGGACAGTTTTATAATAGAAGACATTTTTTGGATGCCCATTACACTAAGGACCATTTTTCACCGACAGTTCATCCCAAGGACAATTTTCAAAGGACGAAACGTCGAGGACATTTTTGCAAGGGTATACTAGCATGTATTCCCTACACCTACCCACACCCACATCCACGTCGATACACCACACTCACACAGACCCACACTACACACCCGCATCCACACCACACATCCATACCCACACCGATACACCCACATCCACAACAAAAATAGAACACGAGGTATCATGAAAATTTTGATGAATTCATGCTCTATGTTATTATTCAATTAAATGTCTTTCAAATTAACAAGCAATCGATACGGAACCAATGATACGCGAATCTCGGTGAAATACTCAATTTTATCATTAGAAATGAAATCGCAAATTGGGTCTTGACCTCGTCCCACTGTTTCAGGTTGTATTTTGAATGTTCCAGGCTTTTGACGACATTGTAACACTAGTTGAGCTTTATACTTCTTCCCTGATGAAGCAGTAAAATCATTACGGATACTATATACGTCCAAACTGGAGTAACGAATTGATGGTGATGTGTAAATATGTTTTTTACCAGGAATATGACCTGGTCGTATGCCAAGTACACTTCCATTCAATAGTACGTCGCCTGGTATGAGAAATTGACGATTGGCTAGAATAGATTGGGCTGCATATATGCTTGTACCGTGGTATGTCACAATCCATTCTGTCCATAGTTTATGATAATCGGCAAGTGCTGGATCGACGCTCAAACCGAAGCCGGCCCATTCACGTGGTACCACATACGTGTCACCAGCTGTTAAGATTACATCAGGTTGTGAAGATGAATAACAATTGTTACAATAACATCGATCGTGTTGAGGTGCAAAAAAACACTTTTCCCAACCTAGACTGAGAACATATTCTTGACATAGTTTGAACAGTGAACATTGACCAGGTGTGGAGGAAAAGAATGGATGGCCATCATTCTGTTTATTCGTTTCGACTCGATTCTCGAAACTCACTTCGCTTTGATTATAATTAAGGCGTATCATGGACCTATTTTGATTACCTCGAGATAGTGGTCTTTGATTAATACACTTTTGCATATTGTCAGTATTACCAATACCATTCAACCTCTGTGGTGTTTTTTTCTGGCTTGTTGTGTTGTTAATCTTTTCCTATACGAAGAAATACACTGAGAAAAAATAGGGTATTTGTAAAAAAACGCGAACATCCACGAACATCCCAAAATAAGGAAGTGATACCTCTAGTAGATAGAGCTCGGTGAGCTGATTCTATGAATACCCACGAATAGTCATGAGTACCCATGTCTTGTGACAGTGAATGGGCCTACTCGACTTAAGTACATGAGCAAAATTTGAGCCTATGCTTCCATAAGGAAAATAGCAGGAACCGATTTTTTCAATTATAAGCCGCATACTTTAGTTTCGCTTATATATTTCGAATCTGATTATAAGTCTTAAACTTGAAATACTCGATCCCTGCTATTTTCCTTATGGAAGCATATAAAAGGCTCAAATTTTGCTCATGTACTTAAGTCGAATAGGGCTACTCTCTGTCAAAAGACATGGGTGTTCATGAGTGTTCGTGGGTATTCATAGAATTAGCTCACCGAGCTCTATCTACTAGTGGTATCACTTCCCGATTCAGGAGTGATCGTGAATGTTCGCATTTTTTTTACAAATATTCGAAAAAATAAAAGCGTTGCGTTCGAAACTTAACATAGTTGACGGATGAGACACGAGTAGGGGAGAGTATGATGACAATCTATCCATTACCCTTGTCACCTACCCCATATTCGTCTCATGGTGTACCCTTCGCTGACACTTCACCTCTTTCGTCATTTGTATGAGTACTTTGATTGAATTCACTGTAATTCATCGGAAGTCAAAAGACTGGACCAGATTCGACTACAACTTCGGAAACGGAGCAATCGATTAGAATGACTGCAATAATTTCAAGATGTCAAAAAATCCTTCTAGATCGATCTACAGGAACCAGGTATTTCTAGCTCATTTCGTTCAAGAGTTGTAAAGATTTTTCAAAGACGCCAGTGTAAGTTCTAATCTTCATCGAGATAGCTTTCGGAAAAGTGTCACCTCTGAGTGAAGGCATGGAGGTGACACTGCAACTGAAGAGATTCTCAACCGAGACTGACATCATACATCCACGGCATACCATTTTGATGTGAGACAGTGAGATCACCAGACACACTTCACACCCTCATCTTTACCGCGAGGATCTCTTTCATACTATGACTGAATCCAAAAGATAGAGACATTCCAGATCGATTGGAACAGGTTCGGCACGGGAACACCGCGTGACGGCGACTCGTGTAACCTGAAACGTCTATCATGGCCTGCTGTGTGAGCGATGAGCGCTTCCAACTTGTTTGCCATATACCTATACTGCTTCACTCATCAGTAATTCGGTTTCACAAAATGGCTACCTGTGGAGTCGCTGTTAAACCACCAACTATGAAGTGTAACGACGGGCGTCGATTTTTTTCCCCTTCAGATGGATCAATAAATTGTGCTGAAATAATATTGAGATCATTTAATATCAACGCTTTTCAAAGTTCCTCATTCTTACTTACATGAATAAGAAGTATTTGTTGAATTATTCAATTGTGTACCTGAACAATGAAAAACAGGCAAATGGTTGATGAATTTTGCGATCCATCTGGTAGCTGATCTTCCAGGAAAGTGACTTAAGGGAACGCCTGTCCCTGCTCAAAATATTCAGTCTTTTCGTTTTTCATTTTTTACGTTGGGTTGATACGTGGATTTAAATGCCCTCTAGATAATAACAGCATTTTAAGGGGACAAAACTAGCTTTTTCTTTGTAAAGACCTCGAAAAAAAACTCAATTTTACCCTATAAAAGCCACAAAGCGCAATTTTCTTCGCGCTTTTCTAAAAGTCAAATTTTCAAACAAAAAAAATAAAGTATTTCTCAGTTCCTCCTCTCCCCCACAGTAAAATCGTTTAGATTCAAAGTTGTTTTTAATAACTACTTTGATTGAATCAAAATGTGCGTTGGTGTGTGCGTGCGGGTGGATGTGGGTGAGGGTGTGCGTGTGGGTGGATGTGGGTGAGGGCGTGGATGTGGGAGTGGGTGTGGGTGTGGGTTTGGATGTGGATGTAGATTTCAGTATCCTTGAAGTGAATATCCACACCAGCACCCACATTCTATCCACACCCACACCCACACCCTTACGAGCAAGAACAACTTATGCTCATGAGCTCGCAACTCGTGAACAAAGGTTTTTGATGTCTTTAGTCCGATCTTGGTACGATCATATTGTCAAGGGGGAAAACGAAAACTTCAAGGCTTCGGGACTCCGAACGATTTCAAGGGACTCTGAGGAACTCCAAGAGACTACGACGAACTCCCAGAGACTATGAGGGACTCAAAGGAGCTCCAAGGGACTCCGAGGGACTCCGAGGGACTCAAAGGAGCTCTGAGAGACTCAAAGGAGCTCCAAGGGACTTCGAGGGACTCAAAGGAGCTCTGAGGAACTCCGAGCGACTCAAAGGACGTCCAAGGGACTCCGAGAGACTCAAAGGAACTCCGAGGGACTCAAAGGAGTTCCAAGGGACTCCGAAGGACTCAAAGGATGTCCAAGGCACTCCGAGAAACTCAAAGAAGCTCCAAGGGACTCCGAACGACTCAAAGGAGTTCCAAGGGACTCCGAGGGACCCATAGGACGTCCAAGGAACTCCGAGAGAGTCAAAGGAGCTCCAAGAGACTCCAAGGGACTCACAGGAGCTTCGAGGGACTCAAAGGAGCTCCAAGGGACTCAAAGGAGCTCCGAGGGATTCAAAGAAGCTCCAAGGGACTCAATGGAGCGCCGAGGGACTCAAAGGAGCTGTGAGGGACTCCGAACGACTTCAAGGAGTTCCAAAGGACTCCGAGGGACTCAAAGGACGTCCAAGAAACTCCGAGGGAGTCAAAAGAGCTCCAAGGGACTCCGAGGGACTCAAAGGAGCTCCGAGGGAATCAAAGGAGCTCCAAGGGAATCAAACGAGCTCCAAGGGACACCGAACGACTCAAAGGAGTTCCAAGGAACTCCGAGGGACTCAAAGGACGTCCAAGGAACTTCGATGGAGTCAAAGGAGCTCTAAGGGACTCCGAGGGATTCATAGGAGCTCCAAGGAACTCTGAGAGACTCAAAGGAGGTCCAAGGGACTGCGAGAGACTCAAAGGAGGTCCGAGAGACTCAAAGGAGCTCCAAGGGACTTCGAGCGACTCAAAGGAGCTCTGAGGAACTCCGAGGGACTCAAAGGACGTCCAAGGGACTCCGAGAGGCTCAAAGGAACTCCGAGGGACTCAATGGAGCTCCGAGGGACTCAAAGGGACTCCGAAGGACTCAAAGGATATCCAAGGAACTCCGAGAGACTCAAAGGATGTCCAAGGGACTCCGAGGGACTCAAAGGAGCTCCAAGGGACACCGAACGACTCAAAGGAGTTCCAAGGGACTCCGAGAGACTCAAAGGACGTCCAAGGAACTCCGATGGAGTCAAAGGAGCTCCAAGGGACTTCGAGGGACTCATATGAGCTCCAAGGGACTCTGAGGGACTCAAAGGAGGTCCAAGTGACTGCGAGGGACTCAAAGTGACTCCGAGAGAGACCAAGGGACTCCAAGATATCCCAAGGGAGCCCAAGGGACTCCAAGAT